AATTTCCAACCAAAATAAAGAATCTCATTATGAATTGTATTAGTACTAGTGACATTGCTATTTTGGTGAATGATGTTACAACTACTTTTTTTGCCCCAAGTAGGGGAATCAGACAAGGATGTCCTCTATCACCCTTCATTTTCATCTTGTGTATGGAAATTCTCTCACGTCTGATTTTTCATTAAGTAGATACTGATCTTTGGGATCCTATTAGCCTTAATAACCATCACACAAGTATATCCCATTTATTCTTAGCAGACGACCTAACCCTAATGGCAAAGGCTGACAAAAAAAATTATTGCACCATCAAGAACTGCCTTAATAACTTTTGTAATATGTCAGGGCAAAAAATCAATAAGGAAAAATCAAAATAATATTCTCACAAAATTGTCCCATTCCGCTGGCCAAGGAAATTGCCTTAGGATTCAATATTAAGATTACCAAAAATTTTGGGAACTATCTAGGCTTTCCAATTCTCAACAATGCTCCCAAGGCATCCGACTATCAGTTCATTATTGATAAAATGCGGGCTAAACTTTTCAACTGGAAAATAAACCTCCTGAATATAGCAGGAAGGACTACTCTAGCCCTAGCTACTCTTAATTTAATCCCCAATCATGCCATGCATACACCATGCTTCCCACAAAAATTCATAAGCAAATTGATCAAATCCAAAGGAATTTTATTTGGGGCACCACGACGGATCGTAAAAAACTTCATCTTATTAATTGGAATATAATTACTAAACCTAAAGATATGGGAGGACTAGGAATGAAAAATGCTCATTCAAAAAATAAAGTATTGTTAAGTGGTTTATCATGGAGATTACTTAACAATACATCCACCCCCTGGGCAAACCTTCTAATCCGTAAATATACCAATAAGAGTTACAGCCACTCCTCTTTCATATGGAAGAGTATCCTCAATGTACGAAAAACTTGTGGTCAAGGAATTCAATGGCTCCCTGGCAAAAACTCCAACCTAAATAGTTGGGAGACTCGATGGATCCCCCAATTACCACCGTTGAGAGAATGCATTGAAGGTTCTCTTCAATTAAATGAGAACACCCTGCCAATAAAGAAATTAATTCACAAAGGGAAGTGGAACTTCAACAATATCTCATTTAACATCCTCCCCCCTACCCTCCCCCCCCCCCCCCCATCTTGGACAAGATTAACTCAATACCTCAACCTCTTCTAAACTTTGATAAGCCTCTATGGAGGCTTAGCCCAAATGGGATTTTCAACACAAAATCTTGCTACCAATTACTGAAACAATGGGACACTGAAAATAAACACGAGTTCGATTGGATATGGAGATTACAATGTCCTAATAAAATAAAAAAAAATTATTTGGCAAACACTCCATAATAAAATCCCTTGCCGATCATATCTCCACCATATTGGGATTAACATAAACCCAAACTGCCCCAGTTGCCAAGACCAAGAGGAGACAGTCACTCACATATTTCTCAAATGCCCCCATTGTCTCATGCCTATGGAAACAGCTAAAAATTGCAAATCTGGTTTCTAACGAGGATACTCATTGGCTCACCAAATTAAAGGACATGAACATCAACACCCTCCCCCTAAAACTTCCTGGGAATAATCTTCTTCCTTTCCTTTTATGGGGAATTTGGATTATAGAAACAACAATAACTTCAATAACACTCACTACTCCCCATGCATGAAAGACATTTGTAATGTGGATTTGAATTCCTATTCTTCAACTCCACTGGAATAACCCCCACAGATAAATCCACTATAACCATAAAATGGCATCCCCCACAACGTCACTGGTATAAACTGAACACTGATGGGGCCTTCAAATACGAAGGTAACAAATAAGGCATAGGAGAAGTTTTTAGAAACCATTATGGCAAATGGATAATAGTGTTTCAAAAGATAGACAAAGCCCTATCTCCTCTTCACTCGGAGCTTCAGGCAATCCAAGAAGGGCTAAGAATAGCAACAATCTATGACCTATTCCCACTAGAAGTGGAAACAGACTCCACTGAAGCTATCAATGCAATAAACCAAGATCACTTTTTCGTAACTAACACTGTTCATTCATGCAGGTTATTGATGCTCCAGCGGAAGGACCTGTTCCTACGGCATAACTTTCATGAAGGAAACCAAGTAGTACATATTCTGGCAAAAGATGCATGCAAAGATGATTTTTGGCAGCCAAGCAAGGAGACTGCAAAAATGCATCCAAGTCCACCTCATTTTGTGAGCTTACAACTATCAAAGGATCTCGATGAAATCTACTAGTACAAGAAGTCACTAGACATTTCGACTTGTAATAGCCTAAAACTACTAGGGAATCAAAATGTCACAAATATTGGATCACCAATATGTGACGATTCTCATATTCGAAGTGTATGTACTAACGGCAACTTCTAGTTTTATATATAATATAAATATCCATATTATCAAAAAAAAATAATAAAATAGACCATGAGAACAATTCAAAATTAAAATGACAACAATTACAAAAAAGGAGAAAAACGACAATGAGCAGTTTGAATGCAAGCTGCCAAACTTAAGCCTGCAAGTTTTTAATCTGAAGGAAAGATAAAAATAAAAAGTTTGGTACCCTACTAATATCCATCAGTAACGTATACGCTTTACATACATATCCATCAAAATAATACTAATTGAAAAACAATTAATGCAATTAATTAGTCTCTTCGTTTTTTTCTCACGTAGTCACATTCAGATTACATAACTAAATTGTTAATTATATTTTGGTGTGTATATTTACAAATTAAGTGGTTTAAAGAATAAATGATGATAGCTAAGGAGAAAGATTTTAGGTGAAGGGGTAATTTGGTCAATTAGCTTTTGAAGGATATTTTGGTAAAATAACTTCACCTAAAAGTCTTCACACTTATAATATAATATGATAAGAAGTTGGTGAATCCTATATTTAACAATTGCATTTCTTTGTTTGATAATTCCTTATATCAGAAATAACATCGATCCAACTCGAGATTAATGAATAGAATTCGGAGAAGGGTAAAAAAAATATCCCTTTACTATGCGAAAAAGATCATATATACTCTCCGTTATACTATTTGTCCATAAAAGTCCCTAACGTTATAAAACTAGTGCAAAAATACCCTTTCTCCGTTAGGACCTCCACCATATCCAACATCATCCCACGTGGCCTGATATTTTGCTGAGATAGATGCCACGTGGCAATGCCACTCCACCACCCCAACCCCATGTACCCCCTCCCCCACTTCTTCCTTCACCACCACCTTCCCCTTTCACTCAACCAATGTCATTAACATCACCCAACCACCATAATCATTACAACCACTTTAAACCCACCACTACAAACCTCCATCAGCTGCCCCTCTCTCCGTAACAGAAATTTCATATTATTTACATTGTTCATATAGCCTAAAACACATAGTATAGTTTTATTGCAAAATTATTTACTCAACTCTTTCGGGGCTCAGTATCAAATTAAAGTAGACGAAGCCATCGATATGCAACAATATATTAAGCAGCTCTATGATAAAAATTTACTTTAAACATATTCAAACTAATAATAATAATAATAATAATAATAATAATAATAATAATAATAATAATAATAATAGTAAAGCTCAAATTCAATTAACACAATTTTGCAGGCTTAATTTCAACTTCTTTCTTATCCGTTCTTTCTTTTTTTTTTTTTTTTTGCTAAATCATCTTATCCATTCTTAAAGTTTTAGGCAAATTAACAAAATCCTTTTTTCCAGGGGCGTATGCAGAATTTTTTATAAGCGGTGTCGATATTTAAAGACGTGATCTAATGAATCAATTATTGTAATGATATCATGTAAAAATTTAAAAACACAATTTGTAATATATGAATAAAACACAATTAAGTACATTACTATAATTCTACCGTTAGTTCGCCGTTACCACTAATGGTCAAGGGTTCAAGTGTTGAATTTTATCATTTTTAATATAAGGGGAAAAAAATCTAAAACTGATAGTCCATGAAGCTGCTACCAGGAATCGAACTCCTGATCTTCAAGAAAAAATTGAAGCACCAACCAGGTAAGCTACGATATTTTCCTATAAGCTATGCCGCTCTTTTATTTATATCATCTTTACATATCTGTTAGATATACTTATATTTAATAAAAAAATCGATCAAGCGGTGTCGGATGACACCGCTTGAATCAAGGTACATCCGCCCCTGCTTTTTTCGAATCACAACCGTACAACTGAACAACAAAAAGAAACGAAAGAGGAATTTGAATACAATTCACATATTGTTGTTGAAGGATATGTAGCCCACATATATTATTTTCTTGGATGGTACTGAAACTGAGTTAGAAGAAAGGCCAAAGGAAAAAAGAATCAAAAAGGAATTTTTCTTGCAATTACAGAGAGAAGGGTTACGGGGAGGGAGTTAAATGGGGTTGGGGCAGTGAGTGGCATTGCCACATGGCATCTACCTTAGCGAAATATTAAGCCACGTGTTGGACATGGTAGAGGTCTTGACGGAGGAAGGGTATTTTGGTACCAATACTATAACGTCGGGGGTTTTTCTAGACAGATAGTATAACGGAGGGTATATATGATCCTTTTCGCATAGTAGAGGGAAATTTTTGACCCTTTTCCTAGTAGAATTTATGCTTCGTAAAGAGGACGTAGTGTGAGGAAACAAAGATACATAGAGAGAGATGTTATTAAGTGGTTCCATAAATTTTATAAGTTGGTTGAGGAATTAAGTTGTAATTAGATGATAAATTGATAGCTAACACGTCAACTGAAGGTGTTCTTGGCGATATTCTTCATTACTAGAGTGTGTTTAGCACGATGACGGTAGAAAGTCGGAGAATGCTTTCCAAAAAGAAATAGTACATTTTTTGATATTTAGTTGTAGAGAAAATAACATCACTAAATACTGTATATCATGTTTATAAATAATATTATTATCAATTTCTACTAAATAATTTTTTTCAAAAGATATTTCTCATATTTCCGCTCAAGCACTAAAAAATTAGTCACTTTTGGGATAAAAAAGATTTACTTCCGTAGTACTAAACACACATGTGCTGAGATTTTATGATTAGGAAGAGGGAAAATACGATCTTACAACTCAACCATCTAATTAAGCTGCTAATTAGAGTTCATAAATTGTATCGAGATATCGTTTGTTCTTGTCTCTTTGATTTATGCACAAAGAAATTAGTCCCCAAAAGAATCTAATTTGATCTAAAACAAGGTTTAATTAGCAGTAATGATGTCTTACATTTGTCTCTTCTTATTTGCTTGTTTGCTGTTGTGCATCCATATTCTGAAAACTTGTCTCTTGACACCCACTTCGTTACAGAAATGTTGCAATTCTTGTTCGTCTTTCTTCTGTATACTCCATCCTACCTTCTCAGCAAATTCATGCATTCTCTCTTTTTGTTCCGCTGTGAACTTTGTCCTAAATCTCTTCTTCGACTTCGAATTAGGTTGCGTTACAACTTGTCCTCCTCCGACATTAGAATTGAACAAATTTAGATCCTCACTTGATGATTCAGAATTCCCTCCAAAAGTCATCATCATCACTGGTGGCCCGGTACTATGGGAGTACTTATAATTGTGGCAGTAATTGCTACTATGTGTTGATGGATTGAATGTAGAATATGGGGGGCCTGCGCGAGCTATCTGCGTCTCAGCCTCAGTTTCTCTCCGGTGAAAATTTCGGTGACAATCACAAGCTGCACACTTTAGCGCTTGTGGGGTACCTTCTTCTTCTTCGCTTGGCATGAATTCGCCACATCCGTCAAGGACATGTCCTCCCGTACTTGCAGCATGATTCTTGAGACACTCTCGGTATCTAACTGATGAGCTTGTCGTGGTCGTGGTCGTGCCATTTCCTGAGGTTGTCGATTGTGGTCGTAGTTGTGCTCTATTGTTAGCTGCAGTAAGTGGATCAAGATCCAGGTTTGGATCCCTTTCTTCTTCTAATTGATGTGAATTTTGTTGGCTATGCCCATTTTTGGAATGGTGATTGTGTTTATTTAGGGTTTGGATAGGGATGAGAATGACATTTCCACTGCCTGCCTTTTCATTTCTTCTATCTGATAAACTTGAAGATTCATGTTGGTGGACTTGAGATGGATTATAACCCATGGATTTTGGCATGCCCATTTCCTTTTCTTGGCCTTTCTGTTCCATATATATATATATATAACTCTAATCTTTGTTTTTTGTGTTAATTACACAGTAATCTGTTCTGATACACTAGACCGATTGATTCAACTGATGTGAACACCTATGAGTGCTAATTAAACCCACAACATGACCCCTGTCTTAAGTCTGAATCTTATAATTCCCTCCTATACGCAACGACAGAAGCTCAGAGAAAATAAAGGGATTTGAAAGGGGCGTTATTAATGAAGAAAACAATTAATTAAAAAGAAGGTTATTTGTCTCCTTAGAGCCATCAAACCCCATGAAAGGGAAGCATATATAAGAGTGGGTTGGGTTGCACTTGCGTAGAGTATTTAAAAAGCTAAAGACTCAAGTGATGATTTGCCAAAAGACAGTGATGACATATATAGTGGGACTTATTACTCTACTAAACCACCGACACGCTCATGTTCTCTCTTCTGCAGGTTGCACTTTGGTCCGGTAATTTAATTATTGTTATGAAAATTACTCCATAGACAAAAGGGTGTTTGGATCGGCTTTTAAGCTGGTTAAATTTGTTTTTTAAATTCTTTTTAGTTTTTTTATTGTTTGGCAAAATTAAAAGTGCTTAAAATAAGTTAAAATTTTCTTAAAACAAGCCAAAATCAATAAGTTGGGCAACACCAATTTATTGCTTTTTGGCTTAAAAGTTATTTCTACTGAAAAATTACTTTTTTTTTAAATTGTCTAAAACTAATTTATATTTCTTTAGTTTCAATTTATGAGATGCATTTCGAATATCGATAGTTAAATTTCTTACAATTTTTATCGCAAATTTAGACATAGATTCTTCAGGTTTTTTAAATAAAATTTATATATTTAGAAATGCTATAAGTCATAATAATTAATAATTTAAAATATTTAAAAGGCAAGACTGATGGTTAAAAAATATTATTTGACGCGCATCACGTAGGTTGGGACAAAGGAAGATGTTTTTATCTTATTCACTTTTTAATTATTAAGTAACCACTTTCATATTACAAACTACTGTTAAACTTCTATATTACTGGCTTGTTTCTTTTGATATTTTTTTGCTGTTACACCGAATGATTGTTATACACCTATAATAATATTTGAAGTTTAAATATTAGTTGGTTGTTATAAACAAAAATTATCCATTTTTTTAACATTACATATAAAAGATAAAAAAAAATCATTCAAACTTAAAATCTCAAAAGATATGTATATTTTACTAATTAAATTATTAGATAAAGTCAATGCATTATTAATAAATTCATAACTAAATATATAAAGAATTAAATTTAACGCTACTTGAAAATTAAATTCTTTCAATATTAATGAAAAAACTCTAACTGTTTCATGGAGAGAGAGTTGGATGCATAGACCGTTGTGACTACGCGGAAAATCTTTAAGCGATTGGTATTAGTTATTTGCCTAATCATGGCTTAATTTTTGAGAATCAAACATAATTAAGATGCAATTATAGGTAAGGATTAGAACGGTAACAAGGACTTAAGACAATGGTTGTACAATACTGGATTGCTAATTCATTCATTTTACATAAAGCTCAGACGGAGGAAAGGATCGATTGCAGACTTAACTTTTTGGAGGAAAGAGGTGAGAAATTGTGTGAAAGGAAGCAGCATGTTGGTCCCGTTAGTGTGTGTCAGATTGTCTTCTTTACTTCTTCTCTATTAACTTAAAAAATTCTCCATATCTCTCCCCAAAAACGGTCAATCGGTAACAGATTTGCCTTTTATCACAAGTGTGTTCCGGTAATAATATTAATATGACCATATTTCGCATTAACATATGTGCCTCTTTGTGTTGCTTTAATTTTCTTGTGTTTAGCTTAGGACCAATTAATGTGAGACTCTTAACTCTCTAAGAAAACATGTTGACTTTATTTATATTCTTAATGTGTGTACTTTTTTATATTTTGACACCTCTTAGTAAATTTTTTGACTCCGCCACTGCTACTCTACTCTACTTTATTTATAGCAAGAGCAAAGTTGTATACCATATACTCCCATAAGAAGTTCGTCAAATGACCAACATAAATTGCTTTGCAATAGAAATCGAAAACCATTATCCTGATTAAATAGGTACTATGGTTCTAGAAATCAGCTTACGACCTAGTTTTGCGTAAGCTATTTGACAATTAATGAGATAAATAGTAGTAATAAAATCGAGTTAAAATTAAGAGGAAGAATTAACCCAAATATACGTTCATCCAATCACTAACTAAAAAGTATGTGGATGTATAATATATGTATAATTATGTATTACATGAGTATATTTATGTATAATCTATATACATGACTAAAAAAAAAAATAATGAATATAACTGACTATTTGTGTAATGATGTGACAACCAAGCATTCGAAATTGGTGTGCTCCTTTTATGTTCTGACCATTTAAATAATCTGTTACGCCATTTACCTTAATCATTGAAAACGAGGTCGTCAATGATCAGAAAAGGAAAGAAGAAAACAACTTGTTTAATTGGTCTGTATTCTCTTTTTTGTTGATTGGTGGGAACAAGTTCCAAGTGTTTAGTGGTTCAATTAAGTAATGCCGGATTAGGGTTTCAACGATTAAACTAATCTAAGGCTCATTGTCATTTTAATTAAATAAATTAGTACATCTAGCTTTGCATGTATATACGTGGCAAAACCCTAACCATGTCATAAATTTCTTCCATCTTAAATACTATATCTTCTGCTCGCACGCACTCTCTCCTCTCTCTCTCTCTCTCTCTCTCTCTCTCTCTCTGGCCCTTTCAAATTTAGTCAAAGTCAGACAGGTCGAAAATGGTCTATGCCTGTTCAAAAATCTAAACCAGCTGGACATGTGACGTGGATGTCTGTGATTGGTTAACGTGGAGGTCGAATATCGAATTATTGCGGCACTTTTTGCTTGATTACTTAATTACACGTCTATAGAACACTTTAGATTTATTGGTTTTTAAAAAAAAAACTTATTTATTGGTATTTGATATGCCTGCAAATTCAGATGAGATTTCAGATCTCATGTCTAAGATCTATTTTATTAGGCACGTCATAAAGTATACATAAAGTGGTAATATATATTAATTGTAAAACTTTCATTTTATCTATTTTGTTAGGGACGTCAAAAATGAAACCATGTCACGTAATACTTGTCCTAATAAAGTGTTTTTTCATAGTCGATTCTTTTCGGGGAATCGAATATGATAATATTCAACTAAAATCATTAAAATGCTTCATTAGTAGTAAATTAAATGTTCTATCCGGGAAGACACTAAAAGCAATAGATTAAAGTTAGATATACCGTTAAAGTACTCCCTCCGGTCCACAATAAATTTTTTTTTTTAATCTTTAGCATACTCCTTAAGAAAAAACTAACTCCTAGAGAGAAAAAAAGTATTTTGACTAAATTACCCTTAATTTTAATTTGCATATTGTTAGCTTGACATATTGGGATACGCAAATACAAATTTGAAAAATTAAAGTTAATCCATTCTTAGTTTTGTAAAAAAGACACTTATTTTGAACCAAAATAAAAAGGCATAAAGGTCACTTATTATGGACCCGAAAACCACTATAGTTTAAAATGGCATGGGGTGGCCACTATTTAAGGTGGTATTATTTTTTATCCAGCAATTCTAATGTTGCGCAAAAATAGCCACTACTCTATTAAAATTAATATGAAAAGACATTTTTACCCTTTCTTCCCTTGCTTTTCTTCCCAAACCCTCGCTTCTCTCTCTGCATCAAATACATTGGAAATAGGTCGCTTTTCGTGTGACTTCATCTTTCTGCATATTGTACTCGATCAAACGATAACCATGATTATCAACCATTTTGTATAGTGCATTCCCGTTCGCCTTGAGAAATATGAAGTCACCCTACATGGGTTTTCCAATCAAAGATCCCAAAGTTTGGAATCATCATGATGTTATTCCATGTAAAGCCAGTTTTCCCATCTTCCTCTAATGCCCAAATTGAAATTTTCCCTTCGACCCTCCAGGAAATGCAAACACGATTAGCAAAAGCACGCAATTTCAGTATATCCCAATGCTTACCTGGAGATTTGTAATTTGACATCAATCTTATATGTAAATTGCAATTATTATTATTATTTTTTTTTTTTTGTGAAAAGATACAAATAACGTTTGGTTTTCTGCTACGTTATAGATCCTGAACTTACAGTTACAAGTTCAAAAGTTAAGGACACTCGGTCCTGAACTTCGAGTTCCAAGTTCAAAAGTTAAGGACGCTTGGTCCTGAACTTAGAATTACAAGTTCAAAAGTTAAGGACATTTGGTCCTGAACTTAGACTAACAAGCTCAAAAGTTAAGGACAATAGGTCCTGAACTTACTACAAGTTCAAAAGTTAAGGACAATAGGTCCTGAAGTCCTGAACTTAGACTAACAAGCTCAAAAGTTAAGGACAATAGGTCCTGAACTTAGACTAAGAAGCCCAAAAGTTAAGGACAATAGGTCCTGAACTTACAGTTACAAGTTCAAAAGTTAAGGGCAACAGGTCCTGAAGTCCTTGACTTAGACTAACAAGCTCAAAAGTTAAGGACAATAGGTCCTGAACTTAGGCTAAGAAGCCCAAAAGTTAAGGACAATAGGTCCTGAACTTAGATTAACAAGCTCAAAAGTTAAGGACACTTGGTCCTGAACTTATAGTTACAAGTTCAAAAGTTAAGGACATGTAGTCCTGAAGTCTTGAAGTTAAGTTCAAAAGTTAAGGACATGTAGTCCTGAAGTCCTGAAGTTAAGTTCAAAAGTCAAGGACATGAGCATAAGGGTATTTTCGTCCGGGCAGTTAAAGTTTATTAAAGCAGTGGCTAAAGACTAAAGACATTTTAAACAGTGGCTTAAAAGTAAATACATATGTTATTAGTGGCTAACCATGCACTTCCCCCTAGTTTAGAACCTAGTAACTATAATTTGCCTAATTACCATCAGTAGCTACTAATTTAATTGCTACTAACTTGTATCACTTGTATTCAAACGCGCTAACGAATAAAACATGTGTCAATTGTATTCGTTCGCGCAATGAATACAATGTGTATCAACTGTATTCGTTCGCATAATTGTATTCATTCGTTCGCGAATACAATATATATTGACTGTATACATGGTTGTATACAATAGATACAACATGTATCGACTGTATTGTTCGCAAAACGAATACAATTAAGGCGAAATACAGGAAAATAAATGTTCTTATTGAGAGTTGAATTCACGACCACCAACTAAGAGGGTGCTCTAACCAACTGAGTTACGAGAGCTTATTGCTCTCTTATTTTAGTTCAAAACAATTAATATCTTATTTATGGATTTGGTATAAAATTCAAATATA